CCAACCCTAGCTATTCTATGATTCTAAAAAATAATAATGCAAGATTTCACATACTCTTGATACACATATTTATACAGACACAGTCACATCTAAAGAAATCCGTTTTATGCTTTCACATTTTATGTTTGACAGTTAGTATCAGTTTGACAGTCTGTTACCATTTCAGTAACTGCTTCTAGCCTAGTATTGACTTGAAAGAAAACACGCTTCTGAAGAATGTACCTTTTGCAGTGCAAGTTTCATTGGGAGGCATTGCCAGAAGTCGTTCTCCAACTTGAATACAGCCTGCTTCTATTTTACCAGTGACACAAAATCCTGATCCTTGGTCTGTAATAAACACAGTAATAATTTCAAAACACTTGGTAATAAGGTTAATTTTCCATCACAGGTTAGCCCTGCAGCAATGCATAAGTAAGTTTTTAATATAATGAAGATGGGGTTTTTTCCTCCCTGCAGTGTTCTGTATTTGCAAGTTAGCCAGCTGCGCATCATAATGAAAACGAAACATTAAATTCAAAACCTTTAGATCTTATGTTTTTCAGAACTAAGGGAGAAATATCCTTCTTTAAACAAATGTAGGTACCTGAAGAAATATTTTTTAGATTTTCAGTATTAGATTAAGCCCCTTAATATATATAGCATTATATATATAGCATAATATATATAGCATAATATGTATAGCGACTTTATTTAATTCAGCACACACTCACTTCAATTACAGATAAAAAGCATACCACAGAACTTTCATAAAAATTCTCATGCATACAAATACAAATTCCTATGACATTTACTGTTTAACTGAGTCAGAATCCTACATGTTCTGTCTGCGTATTTACTTTTATTCCTGGGAAGTCAAAGATTGATTCAGTCCTATTTAATACGAGGACCTATTATGACTGTGTTTGACTTAAATATTTCTCCATAAAAGAACTGCAAAGTTTTTCTTCTTCAATGTCCTAATACTCTGCTCATTATTAGAATGTCAGTTATTTTTCACCAGATGTTCTACACACACATTTATGCATGTGCACCTTAAGAAATGCCTCATCTCCTTAACATATGTTTATAGGTGTGTTTAAAAAGAATCCTCTGAAGTGATTCTACAATGACATTTTCAGTACCCAAACAAAAAATCAAATATACTTTTTGCTGAACATTAGAATTTAATCACATGCAAGCATCTTAGTAGTTTGTGTGTCACATTATTTTAAAAGCTTCATTTAAAGCTGAATTCAAAAGAGCAAGCTCAAGATTTCAGGTCAAATACTACCAACTTGCTCTTTGCATTCATCACCATTATTGATGAATGCTTCCATCTATCTAGCTGTAAAAATACTACAAGTGCCTGCAAACTAATTTTCCTCTATTCATTCGATCGAACGAGATGATTGCAATCATGGACATGACATTGGATGTCAATAGAACAGAAAACTGGAGAACAAGATACTTGCTATAAAAAGAATCCCCAAGTCATGGTATAAATATCAACACAATATGGTACACAAAAAAAACCTGAAGCTGGCTCTGCAAGCACTTGCAGGCAACCAGAACCACGAAGAGGTTCCATGTTCCCAACTACAATCAAGAACCATTTCTCCTTTCTTCACAACATCACCAGCTCTGGCTTAGTAAACTAGTGTGGTGTTAGAAGCTTTGCCCTCTCCCCCATGCTGATTGCTTCCTGCAGTGTCAAGTTTCTCAGCTCCCCATGAAATCAATGCAAGCACAAAATAGACAGTGGGGGACAGAATCAGGGCATAAAAATGGCCTCATATCTGTGTATCATGATACTCAGGTTCTGCCAGGACATGTTTTTTGTCCTCAGGATTCGGCTGCTGGACAAAGCTTTTCTAAAGTCAGGTCAAGTCATACTCCAGGTAGCATTATAAAAGAGTAAGTGGGTACTGAAGGAAATTACAGGGACCTCTTGCATCAGGAGATAGTTTGCCTGGAGAGAATATTAGGAGGGCTATGGAGGACAACAGCTAAAATCAGGCTGAGGTAGATGAATCATATGTGTGAGTAACCTTAATAGAGAAAGGGGTTTTCCAAACTACGTAAGAGTACAGTCAGCACTCTCACTTTTTACACATTTCTATGGACAGCATGCACAGGCACTGGAACGGAGCTGAGAACAATTGTTGCTTCATGTACTTGCACCCACAGCTACTTCCTCTAGTGGCACCCCAGTTAATTAAGTTTTGAAATCACAAGGTAAGGAGGAAAAAAAAAAAAAAAAAAAAGCCTAAAAAACAAACAAAAGGCCAAATTTAGTGATAAACTCCGTATATGCAAATTGAGTCCCTCCCAAAGCCATTATTTTTTGTATACTTTAGTGAAGCAGATTAAATCAAAATTGCTCATTTTGTGAAACTTCGCTCAACACAAAAGCGATTATTGCAACAAAAAGTTGTGAGAATATTTCGAAAGATCTCAATCAATAATCCCAACACACCTTCCCACAGCTCACAAAATTAAAAAAAAAAAAAAAGAAATAAAAATTGCAGTGATGGCCTACATGACAAAACTAGTGGTAAAACACTAGGGTAAATTCTCATGCAAAGTTTCAATATTTAATGTTATCACTTGAGTACCTTAAGTCAGCTAACCTAGGGCATGTATGGCATCTAGTGTTTTCTCAAAGACCCACATGAAAATTGAAGAAAACTGATTTTTCCAGTTACAATCTGTATTTTGAACTGGTTTGCTTGTACTTCCTCTATAAGCATCCAATATATAAAGTACAACTTACTTTAAAATAAGAAATTCAATAATAATAATATTTGATAACAAATTTTTTACAACATTTCAAATCATGCTGTCATTAGTTTGCAACATTTGTCAAGGGACCTGTGGAAAGTTTCAACTGGGATGAGTGTTACAAACCCGATTTCTTCTAACTTACCTGTAAATGTCAATGTATTTAACTGAAAAAAACGTATTAAGTTTGCCATTAGGACCTTAAGGGCTCAAGGCAGCCTGGTTTTTCCAGACAATGGGAATAAGAACTGGTTGTAGGTACTTGCTGTCCATTTCTCTATTAGCGCTAGAGAATTGCTAGCTGCCTTTCATTAAATCCTTGGCTGGTTATAGCAGTCTCACCACTACTACCCTTTTCTTCCACCTCAACCCCAAATTTTTATACAAAAATGAGGGAATTTATCATTATTTACAGCTACAACAGCGGACATAAAATGAACAAGTCAAACTCTCTTAAAAACCACGAGTGGAAGGTAAAAGAGCCTGAAGTCACACTCATAAAAAGTTTGAGAAACATTCATGTAGACAAGAATCAGTTTTGGAAAAAGAAACTCCCAAATTCTGTCCCACAGAACCATCAATTCATTACATAGCCAATTAGCTGGTCATGCAGATTTTCTTCCTCAAATTGTTTTCCAGTGTGTTTCTCATTCAACAGTACTATCTAAAATTTGACAAAGAACAGTGCTTGAAAACTCACTATTCCTGTTCAAGACTACTGATACACATAAAGCATCTACTTTAAGTCTTATTTTTACATCATTTTTCAACACTTGTATTAAATATTGGTGAAAATATTTAAAAACAACCAACCTTTAAAAACATCAGCAACACACAACCTAAATGGTTTATCCACTGATCTTTGGGGTGGCTTGAAAGAATCTGCAAATAAATCGATAAGATCTTTTAGAATTCCTTTATTCAGTAATTATCTCAACAACTTCTCACCTAGGGATAAATCAACTATACTGCATTCCTAAGACTTTGTCCTGCATTTCCCCACAATAAATTTTTGGCATAGATTTTTACATATATTTGACCCAGATACATCAGTTTTTAAATGAAGAAAAATTGCACTCACCAATTTGCTCTAACAAGCTCTTTCCTTTATACCATTGTGTGAGGTCACTTATCTGACCCCTTGTAACCAGATTTTCACCACCAAGGCCACTTGTTGGGATATAAGCCACATCTGATTCCTAATTAAAAAGAAGTTAAACATATATTAACAGGATCTTCTAGCAGAAGCAAGAGATGAATTTTTTCCATATTATGCATCTAAGCTACAAAAGAACAGTTGGCACATTCGTATTTCCCCTGGAGAAGGCAGATTTCTCAGCTGATACATTTCCTTTCAGTTTACTTCTTGTTTGATCACAGTGCTCCAGCAAAGGGTTGGTAATATTAAAACACAATGATAGCAACATTAACAACTAGAAACTGACTTCAGGTAACAAACTCCAATTTTATATCTGACCGGCAAAACTTTGGTTTGAAATGCTGGTTTATGCATAGGGATTTCAGGAAGGCCACGGCTAGTCCAAATGAGGAAACGTGAGAAGAACATTCAAGAATGGCTAACGGAGAGTTTTCTTATGAGTTCATAATCCACACTGACACCTGCTTTGGTATAAAACTCTCTGTTATTCATGCAATCCTGAACATTAAGACAGATGATCCTTCGTCTGTTCTGCTTTACAGATGACAATCCCGAGAAACTACAAATGAGGCAAGTGCCCCAAAGATCCAACAGACCTAAACAAAGCCGGTGACGACAGAAAGAGTATTGACCCAAGGCTTAACATACATTCTACCAGTAAGAAAAGGAATCCGCTACATTATGTACACATAGCAGCAGCAGGAAAATGACACAAAATAACCTGACTGTAAGAAAATCTAGTCTACTCAAAAGCCTGAGCAAATCAACAAAGACCTCAGAAATTTACATTACCTTAAAGCCAGCTTGTTTAAGAAATTGGCCAAGTTTACTAGTAATTTCCTGAAATCTTTCCTGTTGCCAATTGACCTAAAATAGAAAACATATTATGATAATAAAATTGTAGATTTTTAACCATGACTCCAACATACAGCTGCAGTAATCAACTCTGTAGTATCAGTAGATGTTCTCCACACAGAGCAGCCAATGAATTTATAAACATGAGACTTCCAGGTGGTTTCATAGTTGGACACATAAAAGCATACATATTAACAATTACTGATAGTAAACAACACACCATTACTTACCTTCCAAGCCCCTTTAGTATGATTGGTCCTTGAACAACTCCTCTTTTTCTTAAGTTTACTCAAAATTCAGATTCAGCAAGAATATATACAGTATATACAGTAATAATCTAAAATACAAACTAGTAATACTTAACACACATTACAGGTTTAAATAAAGCTCTTGGGGTCTTGACCTGAATGACCACCAAGATGCCCTTGAAGATGCCACTGGGTTAACTGGTACTTGTGAAAATCTAACATAACAAGAAGGACCCCTACTCATTTTAACACCAAAATTATCCTGTCTGCTTTGAAAATACATCCATCAATAAAAAAAAATTGTCTAAACAAAAGAAACAGACCTGAGAATCGAAGAAAGACACAATATTGATCCTTAAACTTAGGGTCCACAATCCTAGATGGAAACCCTGCAATTGCATGAAAAAATTAAGGATGTACCTGGTCCATTTTATTGACTGCAACAGCTAGCTGCGTCACTCCAAGAGAGCGCACTAATAATCCATGTTCTCGAGTTTGTCCTCCCGTCTCAAACCCTGCTTCAAATTCCCCTCTGCTAGCATCCACAACCAAAATAGCCACATCAGCCTAGATTAAAAAAAAAAACAAAAACAAAAACAAAACAATCAACCAACCAATCAAACAATCAAAAGTGGTTATAAGAGGTGGAAATTATCTGAGTAAGTATGTCAATCAGCAACATTTCATACAAAACATCCTCTGAACTGGAGGAATCCTGATAAGCTTCAATTGTAACTGAAGCTGCTCAATCCTGAGTCATGGCCACTTTGGTGAGATATGGCATTATGTCACCTCATGTCATAACCCATCATTTTCTGTTAAACACAAGCCAACTCATGATTTTAGGAATCTATCCTCTTCAAACTGTCCACTATGGACGTGCTGCACAGACTTCAATTGAACAGAACCAATCTGTGCTCTGGAAGCTTAAGAACAGGTATGAACAATGTTCAGTTCTCCCTGCTTCTGTCTGGACACCTTCATAGTAAGTAGCTGTGAAAATTACAGATAAATCACCTCACTATACAACTGAAACAAATGGTCAACTGCATGTTGGATGTGGATGCTTCACAGTCCACTCAAGACACTGCAGAATGCCAAAATCACAAGGTGGTAAAGAAAAAGTAGCCTATTTTATAATCTAGGCAAGCTCTACCACAGCATTAAGAATAAAAAGGTATCACAGAGCCTACAGCACTGCATAAAAGTCAGCACAGGGAAAAAAACCCCACACTTTGCTGTTAGCCTTAACTGCTGCTAATATTTCTTCTACTTTTCCTGCTTTGGCAAGTAACAGCCAGGTAGACCATCATCATGTACCATGCAATGGCGAAGAACATGAATAGAGGTACTGCTGACAAGAGGCAGGTATAACACAATTTCATAGGACTGATGAGATGGACATTATGAAAAGAGAAGAAAAAGTGGTACTTTCACTCTTTCCTTATGCGCTTATGCTTCAGGATGCCAGGAGAAGGAACAGAGACAGCACACTGTCCTGGCTCTGAATTCTCCTCGCTTCATCCTAGGCATGAAATCCCCACGAGTCAGACAGAGACAGCACAACCGTGAGAACAGGAAAAGGATGAAGGATGAATCTCCCCACAGCTCTCAGCCTCAGAAGTGCACTGCAGTGAACTTCTCCCTCAAAAAAAAGGACATCCTGTATTTTCTAAAGTATAAAACTGTGCCTCAGGACTTACGGGAACTAACCATATGTATTAAAGGCTAGATCCTGGCCCTGATAAGGCTGATTTGCATTTTGTGTAACAGCAGTTGGGGATTCACCTCCTAACAGAATTCAGGCATCAGAGCTATTTCCATGTTTGCTTTCTTCTATGCATTGCTTCAGTGCTGAGTGTAGCTACTCTAACAGACAACAGAAACTTCCAAAGTTTCAGTGATTCCTTTACAGGCTTCAAAACAGACCAGCCCCTCACCATCCTGAGACCTAAGGGAACACAGATACCAAGTCTTATTTGGCCAGCCCTATCTTCTGCTGAACTGATAAAATTGCTGGTGGATTTGGAAGTCTTAACACTTCTGCCTCTATTATTTTTCCCCCAAAAGACAAACCAATTTAATTGAAGTTGTAAAGAAAATGGCTTGGTTGAGCCAGCATTTTCCACTGTTCTGAAACTAGAGACCTGCTTCTAATCTTAAAACTCCTGACCTTCCTACAAGATATGCTCCACAATATAGATGACTGTACAAGATCTACACCATAATTTGCAAACTTCTGACTATTCTGCAGCCTAACCACTGCGTTACAAGAACTTGGGGCAAGTCAGCCTTCCTACGGTATAGTTCATTATCTGCAAAATCATACTAACAGCATGATCCATCCTTACTGAGATCTAAAGATAAACCCACGTTTCAGATTGTAATGGCATGCACAAAGTAAAAACCTCTACACAGTAGCATAGCTTCAGGAAAAAAAAACAAAAAACCAAACCAAACCAAAAACCCAAACCACAAAACCTTTGATTACAGCTCTACTTTGGAATATTAATTCTACTATTTTAAATAGGGTGCCTTTAAGTGGAAAATTTTGATACATTTTATGTCATGTAACCGCTACTATTCCCCCCTTCCGATTTATTATTTCCATAAATTAAATAACTTATCTACATGAGAATGGTAAGTGCCATACTGAATTCAGTGGGCAGTGCCCAATACTGAATTTATCTCCTGTTCCTAAAACAAGCTGCAGCAGTCTCTGAAAATGTCCTACTGACAACACAGATGCATTCTGCATAAACTTTATCTACATTATGTTTTCACATTCATATAAAAATATATTGTTAAACAGATGCCTTTTGTTTGACCTTTCCAGATCTTTTTCGTTAAGCTCAAAACCACTTAGTCTTTACCTGCAAGGCTACTTCCACAGAACTTCTTGCTGAGTAAACATATGGCACATTTAAATAATTTTCAAAGCTCAACTCTGATGTTATCAAATTGTAACTTAGTATTCAAATTACTTCCCTAATAAAACTCTCTTCCAAAACATTAGTGTCCCACTACTGCCTTTAAACAAACACATTCTTTTTAAGTTTAGAAAATCATGAAAACCTCAAAGATATCTTAGCACCATCAATGATTTCATTTCATCTAAAGAAAAAAAAAAAAAGAAGAAAACTAAGTTTTAAATAATAATATTGGAAAAAGGGTTTTAGACCATCTCTACCTGTGCAGCTCCTGTGATCATATTTGGAATGAAGTCTTTGTGGCCTGGAGCATCCATCAGTGTAATTACTTTAGTCTTTGTCTCAAATTTGGTCATACCCACATCCATGGTCACTCCCCTTAAACAAAGCATACATGCAACGCACCATTAAAACTGCTTTGAAAGCTTCATAGACATACAAAGTAAGCTATAAAAAACACAATCATGAAGTTACATGCTTCATAGCTTTCATTTGATTTAGCCCACACAAAAAAAATGAAAGAAATCTGCTTGCTGGAAAAGCAGTAACTCTAGTCACGAAGAAACAAACATCCAGAATTCACAGTACTAACTCCAGGCATCCACAGACTATGTTCCAACAAGCACAGTGAGAACATGAAAATTGTACTGTGTATTTAAATCATTGCTAATTCTACTTTTAACATTTAGCTTTCCAGAAAAAGGCAACAGAATAATGGGAACATAGCCAAGACTAAAAAAAAATACAAGGTATGGGACTATAGGAATACAGTGACACATTTGCAAAGACCCACATGCAGAACTACTGATTATCAAATAGGGATCACAGTGGTTTGACTCAGTTCCACATCTCACTAACAACCACATGGCACAAGATTTGATTAGATGAATCCTATCACACATGTGGGTATCTTGGTTAGTCATCTGCATCTCCCTTCATAGATGATGAAGACTGGTACTTTCAAGGGAGAAAACTTCTCATGTTAGCCTAGCTACTTAAAATATGCTATTTCCAATGACAATATAAACTAACAAAATAAACCTTCCTTACTGCCTTACTCCATGTTTTTCAGCATCACTGTTCATTGTGAAGGTTATCTTTTCAACTGTAAGAGCTTACATGCTATAAAACCTCAGATGACAAGTGATTGTAAAAAATATAAACACATAAGAAAATACTTTTTTTATTATTTTCTGAATGCAGAATATCATGTCTTTAGCTTTATAATGTTCTTAGAAGCTCTTAGATATTTTAACTTGCTTTACTGCTTCCTCATTAAATACTTTTTCAATATGATAAAATTCAACCTTAAATTTCGTATTTCAAGTTATTACAAGCAATTAATGAAGAATATAAATTTATAAATTTTATATTCAACATAAGTCACATGATGAACTGACATTTCGGTACTTAGTTTATAATTCCGACACCCTTTCATAGAAATATTTAACCTAGAACTTTTCATAAAAAAAAAGCAAACTGGGAGAAATTTGCCAGCAATAAACCAGCAAGGCAGCTTTAAATGAACTAACTTGGCTACTAGAAGTGTTTTGCACTGTAGTCCTCCACTGCACTCCACAGCATAAAAATACGTAAAGAAATACTCAACTCCTTATTCACATTTCTTATAATCCAGAGAGGATATTACTTTTTTCTTTTGATAACAAGAAAAATATTTGCTAATAAGTATTGAGTAAATATCTTTAAACACTTAGGGTATTTCTACCAAAGCATTATTACTAGATCAGTATTTCCTAACAAATGCTGTTCTTTCAGAAAAAGAAGGAAATTCCCTTTGAAAGATATTTCTACCTTTCTCTTTCTTCACCCGTTTCATCCAAGACCCATGCATAGGCAAACGAAGCTTTGCCAGCCTTCTTAGACTCTTGTTCGTATTTGTGCATAGTTCTTTTATTCACATTTCCCAAAAGGTAGAGCAGATGACCCATTAAAGTACTTTTACCTGCATCAACATGTCCTATAGGGAGGGAAATAAATATTACAACAATTTTATTAATTGATGCATTTTAAACATAGTACAAGGAGAAATATACTACAACATGAAAATCACATGCACTAATAATCCTTATGCTATCCAGAGTCTCACAATCCTGTAAAACAGAGATACATAGAGAGTTTATTGAAACTATCAGTTAGCATGACATCTATACAGCACCTCCAAATTTCTACTAAAAAGAATACACTGACAGAATGAAACCAAACCAAATTACATTTTACTATATTGTCAAAAGGAAGCTAAGTCAACCTCATTGTCCTAGTCAAGGACATTTGAATGTGTTCCTTCCAAAGAACAAGTCAAGCAGATGCAACTAAAACTAGTGTGAGATCTCCCTTCCCTGTAGAGAGGATGATTTTGTTTCTGTATCACTTCACAACTCACTTAAGACAATTTTTAATCTCTACGTATGTCAAAAATATAATTTAACAATATTACCTATTACCACCAAATTAAGCAGTTGCTTTCCTCCTTGTCTCTTCTCCAACTCTGCTTTCACATCTATTTGTGGTTTTGCCTTGGCTGACTTTTTTACTGGAGTAGGCACTGGATTATGCTCTTCTGAAACCTGCACTACTTGCGAAAGAGTAGATTTTGAGACTGCCTCAGGTACCCCAGAAGTTACACTGGCGTCTTCAGTTGACAGTCCTTTCTGAGGTGTATTAGCATGGCCATTTTCTTCAGCAATCACACTAGGGGGAAAAAAAACCCAAACAAAAAACACAAGGAATGACAAAGAAGCCATAGAAATGCAGAGAGAAACTGAGTTTTCCCTTCACTATCATATAAGCCCCAGACAAAAAGAATGTGATAAGCCCATTAAGGTGGAAGTGATAAGCAGCTGGATACAAACTGCAGATACCAGCTCTGAACATCTTGTCTGAAAAGCACTGTGTACAAAAGCAAGATAAGAAATAATCTTGTAAAATACATGAAACAGATAAACAAAAGCTTCCCACAAGCCACTTTTTTAACAGAGAGGGAAAGGACAGTTGTGCAGAACAACTACAGAAAGCTGGTGGTCTGAAATAAGAGCCCAAGTCAACTTTGAAGCATCGATCCTAAAACAGCTTCCACATACACTACAAGTATTGCAGCTGAATGTAGCATATTCTACTGTGAGAAGAGCAATACAGCATAAAATGTAGATACTAAGCATACCTGAGCTGCAATTTAAGGTGCAATGCTTATATAGAGTTACATTTATCAATACTTAGAAAAGTAAAAATTGATAAAAACTTAGAGGTATCCAGGATCAGGGACTGTAGTGGTAGAACAAGGGGTAATAGGTTCAAACTTAAACAGGGGAAGTTTAGGTTAGATATAAGGAAGAAGTTCTTTACTGCGAGGGTGGTGAGGCACTGGAACGGGTTGCCAAAGGGAGTTGTGAATGCTCCATCCCTGGCAGTGTTCAAGGCTAGGTTGGACAGAGCCTTGGGTGACATGGTTTAGTGTGAGGTGTCCCTGCTCATGGCAGGGGGGTTGGAACTAGAAGATCTTAAGGTCCTTTCCAGCCTTAATCGTTCTACGATTCTGATTCTATGACTAAGGCAATTTGGATTCCCCAACTCCCCTTCTCTAACACCCTCTTCTCCCACACATCACCATACTAATCCTAAGAGTAAATAATCCTAAATATATTATTCTCTTACAGTCTCTTTCTCTCTTGTAAATGAGGATAATTTCCTAACTTACACAAGTGTTCCAAGAATATACAACATGATTCTTCACCTGTTATGACAAAGATGACCACTAAAAACATAGGCTAAGTAACATTTTCAAGAGAGCAAATGTTTTCTTGCTGCCTGACAGAGCTCCACGGTGAGGCACTAATGCAAACAGCAAGACAGGAATAGAAGCAGTTATTACAGGTGTGACAAAATTGTATCACAGCAAACTTCAATATACAGACCACTATTAATTGCATGAATATGTGGAAATACCTACAAAATAATATATTTAGAACTTTATCCAAGAAGAGCCTTCGTCCCATGGAAAACTGGAAAACCTTTCCAATGCAGTACCACCATGCTGCGGGCTGCTTTCTTATGGAATAGATTCATGCAGGCTCTCAGAATCCAGTGTCTCGACATCCAGGGTGAATTTTTCACTCTCTAGTGGTTTATGTATCACTGCTTAAGGCTCTCAAATAGTTTATAATCTGGGTGGTGCAAAGCAAAAGTGCTAGATACAAATGAAATAATGAGTGAAACATGACTCTAGCCAACATAACATTAGGCCTTGCTACTTTTTCAACGGTGCAATATTTGAACAGTGAGTACACTGCTCCACTTAGAATTTTACAGGTTTCAGATATTACCATGTTTTGGAAATCTGAAAACAACCTGTAGCATGATAAACTAAAACTTGCCATTTCAGAGGAGAAACATCAAAATCGATAGAGTGTATGATCTACTTACAAAGCATCTCTGATGAGATATTCAGCTTTTTGCTGACCAGTGTCAGGGAAAAGAAGAGTCAGTTTATGCTAGGTACCTAATGGAAAATGGTACAGATGAAATGTACAATTCCAGTCTCATGGAAGTATATGAAGACAGATGCAGCAGTAAGACCCTGACAGTTACTTATTCCTTATGGCAACCAGATGAGTAGTTTATTGAAAGCTTGGTAACAGCTCAGAAAACTGCAAAGGAGCTTCTTCTCTAACAGTCAGTGAGAAAATGAATGACATTGAAAGTGCTCTTCAGTAAGCCTTTTCCACTGAGATTTTTCAAAATTATTGAATTGAAAATTTCTGTCAGAAGACAGAGCATATAGTATAGCATATTAGTACCCAGTATGTCACTAGTGCAGGCAGTTGAGGCTATAAACAAGTCACCTGCATTAGCAAGCATCTTTGGTAGCAAAGTTCCAACTTGGTCTGGGTTATGTTGAACCAACATAGCAAGAAAAAATTGTATTTGGAGGAAGAGCACGTCCTAACCAATTCCTTGTGTCTTTGTATGAGAACTTGATGGAACTTCCAAGAGTGGTCTCAGCTTGCCAACGTCTGTGCCTGTCTGCCACATGACTGCTAGCCACTAATGTGGAGCCGTTTGATTAAGCAACTCTGCACTTCTCCGAAATGACAGAACCATTACGCACCTTGTATGTGTGCTGAAGTAACGTAATCAAGAAAGCTTGACCACCAGCAACTCAGGCACAAATGTCAAAAGGAGCTTACCACAGCTTTTTGTTAGGAAATCAGCAGACATACAAAAGCCTGGTAAGGTTGGCAAGGACCAACATGTAGTAAAAATTAAAATTGCCAGGCCAGAAACTTTCTATATTGTCTTGCCAGCAGGGACCATAAGAGTAAAGAGAATAAAAGCAATGGTTAGATCACTGTTTTCTGGGGAAAAAATAAGAAATACAACATAAGTTGTCATAAAATATGTTAGAAGACACTCAATCTCACATAATTATTGAAAAGTTCACACTACCATGCATTCAAAGAGGAACCTCAAAGTTTATCTGCTGAAGATCAACTCTGCATAACTGAGCTTTTAAACACCGTTTTCAATCTTGTATTCTGGATACTTAGTGAATTATTTTTATGCAACCGACTCTTTCGGAGTACTTACAGTCATTACAGGAATGTCTACATTTATTTCCTCTTTCAAAATTATTAATTATGTAATATTGATCAGGCTGGTTAAAATAATCATCCTCTTTTGCTCACAACTTCTTCTGGTGTCCTCATGATTTAAGAAAAAGCCTTGTAAATAGTTTTGCTACAGCATCAGTTTGTCAGAAGTGAGCAAACTCTATTCTCTGTAGACAATCTGTAGACTAAGAATACCTAGCAACAAAGGCAATCAATGCTCAAAGCAATTCATGACTTCTAATAATACATTCATTTTAAATAAGATTCATTTATTATTATGAGGTCATACCTCATAACAAGACTGAAGCATAAAGGCTAAATAACTAGTCAAAGAATGGTTGGTTATTTTGGCTAATTCTAGGTCACTGGTTTCAAAAACATGGTCCATGAGTTATCTTTAAGATCCCATAAAAGATGACAACAAAAGCTAGATCTTACATACTGAATAATCACTTTCTACTGGTGTCTGTTCCAACACCATACAGGTATTTGGGGGTGAGATTAAGGGCCAGTTATAGGCGTTTTAAAATCCAAACTGCTATGAATCATTTACAACACTGTGCTTTTGGTCAGTGATACAAACTATGTACTTAGAAATATTATTATAAACTTTCTGCAGTACATTTATCAGTGCAACAATAACATTAAAAAGGTACGAAAACAGTCAAAAGAACAAGCCTTTCTGAGGTGCTAATAAACACAGATTCATCCTGTTCCCTGACAACTCATCCTTATGCTGACAATATTCCACAAGGTGACTGCAGAAATAAAATCCCAACTGTGATAATCATGGAGTTGAGGCAGGGGTTCATGTTTTGCTTTGTTTTTTCAAGTTTAGAAACAAATGCGTACGAAGTCATTACAAGTTTGGATGGCAATGCTAGTGCTTCAGCTAACCACAGTACATTTAGCACAGACTTTACATACTGTGGAAAAGAGCTAGTCAAGCTACAAGTGCTAGGAGAGGAACCAGGAAAGCAAATGCCACTGTCCTACACAAAAGAAGGAAAAGTATGATGTAAATATGGTCAAGACCTCCTCCTCTCCCATCCATCATGTCAAGGTCCTAGTGTTTTGGCAGTGCCTCCACCATGGCCTGTAGGACCATAGAAGAAAGGAGGCCATCACAGACTCCTCAAGGCAGGGATCTTTAGACATGCCCAATAACTTTACAATTTAGATTGCATTTTCTTCCATATTGACTGATTGGCTGTGCTCCAGATCTCATGCTCTTTTACAAATCATTCCACTTCTTACCTATTCCTCCCACTTAAAGCTAAATGCCCAATATGTATCCAATTTCTACAACAACAGCGGCTTGTTCTAGATCAGTATTTCAACAGTACCACTAAGTAAGTGAGGTGAATTAAAAAAAACCCGATCTTTGTAATACTGAGGATTTATCTAAAGGGATTACCAGCAGGTCCTGAAGGCTTCATTTCTTTCTGCCACAAAAAAAAAAAATTATGTCACTTAACTGGAAGCAAACATGATACAAACTCTTTCAGGGCCCCTGAAGAGAAACGGTGGCTGAGAACTATGTTAGGGCCAACTACCTTTCCCCAGAGACTGAGTCATCACTAGCCTATCCAGGAATTACTCCATTCTATACATGAGGAAGCATTCTTATCTCCTCCTTCCATATGGAGAAGGCACACATACACAAGGTGTGACAACTGCTAAGTAAGTATAAGAGATACCTAACTCTGTATTTCCTCTTTTTTATAAACAAACATTTTAAATAGTCATTTTCATAGCTAAAAAATTCAATCACTACTATACAGGACTAGCTGGCAGATCTTTTTCGCTTACTTAAGATTCCTTCCTTCTTATAAGCTTCTACCCAAGTTAATTTAATACACAAAAGTCCCCATGAAAAACTCCTATTTATAGGAAGTGTGGTAGAAACATCAGAGATGATCATGAAATTCCTATCAACATCACAGCACCTTCATGTCCAGTTGTCACATCCAGTCACTGATTAGTAGAAGCAATGGTGGTGGTGGGGAAAGTTCCCTTTTATATATTGCATATCTCAAACAGCACAGAAAGATTTTGAAAGGCCCAGAAATTTTTCATTTGGAGCTTACTGCATTGAAGTAGCTCAATGAATGTCATGTCTCTTAGCAATGACGTTTAGCAGTATAAAGGGAATAATGACATCTGCTTCACACCTTGTGCTAAAGCTTAAGAGACTAAGATGCAACTGCTTGTTTTCACTCAATTATCAAACATGAACAACACCCTGTAAACTAAAGACCATCCTGCCCTCTTACTCCCAAAAATGCTTTCCAGATCAGGACTACCAATGCTGCAGGATGAGGTGGGGATGCTGGCACTGTTGACACTTGTGAATTTTTTTCCTGAGGATGAACTATGAAATTTCTTGCATGGATTAAGTGGCAAGATCTGGCTTCAAAACCAGAATAAGCACACCAAAGAAAGAAAAATCCATTAACCATTCTTTATAGAAAAACAGCCTAATGGGGAGGCACAGAATGCTACATGTAATATTTCATGGACTGTATTCCAAACACACATGCCCTGTCCTCATATATACCTGTAAGTATTCACTGCTGGCTGCTGTTGTAGGTAAGACTCAGATGCCCATTTTCATGCTCTCACAAGACATCCCCCTCAAAAGTTCCAAGTGAGGATAAAATTAGAACTACTGCTCAATCACTGTAATTTAGCTAAAGCATAAGGAGGACCAATTTCTTCTCTACAACAGTTGTACCCTGGACACCTGTTAAAGTTAATAAAAGCTGCAGAGGAAGACGAAGTTTAGCTATAAGTGATAGTTTTCCCCATAAATTATTCTTAAATGTATTACTTCCTTTGAAGAACAAGCAATTACAGTTAAGATTTATTGATTTCATAATTCCACTTAGAGAACTAAATTTAAAATAAACGAACCCCAAGAAAGTTCATTATTCTACGAAGCGGATGTTTAAATAATCTGACTACCTGATATCTCTCTGCACTATTCATAGTGAAAGGATTTGTTAAACTCAAAACGTGAGGTACCATCTTCTGAAAGTAATTCTGAGTCAAACAAGAAGCTGAGATGGTGAGTTCTGGTGAGTGACACTAAAACTGCTGTAAAAAATAGAAAAAAAGAAGAAGAAAACTTCTACAGGTGCATCAGTCTGAAAGAAGAGCTACTGATGTACCTTGATGTACGAGGGCTTGGCTTACCATGGAACTTCAAATCCCATAGACTGTTTCTTTCCAGACACTGTCATTTTGGTAATTTTTGGCACAATTTCAGATTCCATTCTGGCTGACTGGGAATCCCTTGTTTTTCCTAGTAATAGACAAAAAGTAAGTTTGAACTTAAGGTTGTGACTAACAGGTGTTAAATATAAAGTTTAACAAGTTACATTACTTATCTTCAACTCAAAGATACATTACTTGCATGTATTACGTTTATTCAAAATAACCTACCAGCAATATTTACACTGAAAATCTCATCTGCATCTCCAAGCATCCACATGATACCTACACCATTCAAGAGCTCCACTCCCAGCAGTTCTGCAGGATGCCAGAAGCATTTCATGCAATACGAGGATAAGCAAACACTTTGCAGCTGCTCACTAGCTGATTAATTCTTATTTAGTTTTTCTTTTGCCTTAACATTTTTGAGCCTCAAGTCTATTGTAAAAAAAAGGCTACCTTGGGTACTGATAGCAGCAGCACATGCTACTAGCAGGCCTTCACTGAAACCTGGAAACAAGAGTTCTCTTTTACTGAATTAGGCTGAAGAAGCCAAGCAATACCCAAAAGCTAGCTAATTTAAAGGTTATTTAGAAGTAATTGCAAGAGCTGAGTAACTTAATTACTTTAAATGTATCAAATTTTACCATAACTTAATTGAAACCACAGTTAAAATAAGGTTCATTCTTAATTTTGTGAAACTAGTTTCAAAACTAATTGCACTGCACCTTGTGCTCTGAATGATATTATACACACAGGAAAGCAAGACAATAACCTGAATTCAGAATTATGCTGCAAGTTTTAAACAATCTTCACCTACAGATGTATCAGAAATCTAGAAAAATGCCCCTTCTCTTCCAGTAATAGACCAGTTTGGCTAGTCACTAGTCAAGTGAATACTTATTTTGAAGAACAATTTAATCTTTTAAATTTTTCAGATTACTATTGTAAGATAAACTGCTGGAGTCATTTTGGTCCTATTCATTTAGGTTAACTCTTTATTGTGTTCTGAAGTATGACGGCTATACCTTTAAAACCACAGAATCACACTGCTTTATATATAAAGTTGCGGTCAAAGCTGCTGAAGATTTCAGGTAAGGAAACAGAATACCACAGACATATCTGTAATAGACAGCGTACCAGAGAAGCTGTTGTGCAACTCTTTGTAAACAATGACACTACAGACTAAGACATTCTTATTTAACACAAGACTCCATCTTCATCTCCCTCATTTGCCTTATCTGCTGATACTCATTTTATTTATATACCACCTGGAGATCTCTGGAACAAATAGTCTACGCATTATTAATAATTGCATACCACGTGCACTGTCAGTAAGGAAAAACAGTAAGAGAAATAAATGAAACAGTACATATCACTGTTTACAATAATCACAGATTATGTAACTGACAAACAAATAGTAAAGATTCCAAATAAAAATTCTCAGATCACTGAACAAGGACTATAGTAAAGCACAAAGATTTTTGTTTCACCTTCAAGCTCCTACATAGATCACCTACAACATTTTTTTCAGTAAGTAGTTAACCACTTGAGTTACAGTAAAAATTACAAGACTTTTGTTACCAACTTGGTATGTCTTTTTCCACTTCAATTGAACAATTTTCAAGCAGCCACCACTTTCAACTGCCAGTTAAACATGAATGCTTTACATATCATTTGAAAAAAGAATTATATTAATTCTCAGAAAATACCATGTTTGAAATCAGGCTGCTAGCAACTAATAATTACAGAAAATAAAATTGAAATGAGATTATTTGAAAGAAACCAAGATAACAGTTCATATCACATAACCTGAAAACAGTTTGCAATCTATTAGCAATATTTGCTATGTATGATCCAAAATCAAGTGTCAAAAGGTTTTAGAAAATACATCTTCTTTAATCAATTTAGAAATTAAGTTTTACTCTGTACAAATACATTGGAGTGTTTGATACTGATCCAAAGTTAAATGTACAAGGACACAAAATACATTCAACAAACTAAGTATCTGACACAGGAAACACAGAAATTTTAAACTAGACATTAGGAAACACTAAAAGCTGAAAGAAGATACAAAAATAAAATAACAAAAAGCAAGAGAAAGTAAAGTAATTGTCCATCAACAGCACTGACATTCTGGGTGGGGAGGCTTATTTATTTATTTTTATAAAGCACTAATACGTCAGCATAGGCGAAGTGATGAAGCAGACCAGGATCACGTAAAGGCAAACCAAATCATGGAAGATAATCCTGGAATGGTGGCATTCAAATAGATGCCAAGAATTATTAGTAACACTACTGACGGAAGCTTCAAATTTCATTTTCTGACTTCAATGGACAATAAAATCAAGCAGCACATCTGAGATAAAAAACAAGTCTGTCTTTTGTGCACTGCAGGCACCATTAAAGATTAATATTCATAGCCTTCATTACAAAGAACACAAGGCTGGGAAAGGAGCATGCTTTACTATCTAATCTATGGGGCATGGGAGAAAACTTCATGATAAATTCTTATCTGCTTTAGCAGGCAAAGCAAAATCTATTCAGCACTTAACAGATCATATGCAAATCCTTAAACTGCACCTTGGAACTAAAAGGAAGTCAATGCACAATGCTGATACAATTCTTAAAGACTCCTTAAGAAACAAGCAGAGTATCCTATGGCAACTGAAGTGCACTAGAAGACTATAAAAACTGTAGGAGCAGTAATCCCCATCTGATTAGGACAAGAGCAGCTCTGAGGAAAAATAACCTCTGAAGAGAAAGAATATACAACTTTTTGCCAAGAACAGATTCATAGAATTCTTCATGCCTATTGCCATTTGGACGTTCTTAAACACATACCCAAGGAACGACAATACAATTCCTAAATCAAGAGTACATACAGAAAGAAAGACAGATACATCTTTCACAGACTCCTAAAAAAGTCCCAATGCCTCCTTGTTACATTTCGCTATTCTAGTATTGCAAAAAGTAAAATTAAGAGTGGATCACATGCAAGTAAATGCACTGATTGGCCAATGGTGTCAAAATGCAGAGAAAATATTACTAAAGAGGACACTCCGTAAAAATTCTGGCAATTCACTAACTTAGCACTGTAACTAATTAAAGGAATTTTCCTTCCATGAAAGGAGAAAGTATACCTTCATAAATTACAAAAATAGAAAGGCGCATCAGTATGATAGTTCTCACAATTCAGAGTATCTAAAGAACAAAACTCCTAGCCCATTTTAAGCAAAGTAGTTTTCAGACAGGTATTTGGAATTCGGACTGCATTGACATCGGAGTTACTCTAGCAAGAAGTGAAACACTAATAAAAAACAGAATATGCCCTGATGCACTTTGTCTCAGTATTCAATTAGGAGAAGCCTAACAACAAACGGGACAGATCTGCACTGCCATTACTCCACTACAGCTATAGCAGCCTGCAGTAACTTGACAAAGTTCTTTTCCCTTGATTATTATTCTTCAAGGTTATTAGAAGTACAACCCCAAAATCTCATAATAATGAAGTATTTGCAGACTGATAAACAAGACACAGACACATATATGCAGGAAGCAAGTAAAACATAGTGACAGTTTTTAAAAATTAAAACTGTCTCTCTGGGTGCTCAACCTGGAATTGAGTAAATGTATGGATATAGTCAGCAACCTTCCTTTACTGTAAGCAACTCCCTAGATTTCCTTGGTAAAATTGGTTGTAAAGAGTACCTGTAAAAGATTTAAATAAACAAATCAAAATACTATTTTGGCTTCTTTATCATACATAACAGGCTTGAAGTTCTTTTTTCAGTTTTTCTTCATTTATATACTTACATTGAAAGGACAGGAAGATAAAAATTGGGTTTAAATTCTGTAGGAGGTATGGAAGTTGTGTCAGTACTTGGAAGAGTTGGTTATCCATTTACTCTGTTCCCAGATAGTTTAGAGATACATAGAAACAACAGGAGTCTGTTAAATAATCACAATCTCAAAAAAGACATGTTGGCATAAAGTGAAACAGGGATATTGGTATATTTGGATAAATGTATACTAGCAATGAGTATTTAAATCCACACTGACTTTGTTCAGATGGCCACAACTTTTTAACAACAGTAATAAAATGCCATCATTTTCAATTCCTATCACAGAGGCTTCTCCTACCAATTTGTCTTCCCCTCAAGGAGGAATAGTAAGTAAATGTAATGGCACTGAAACTATAAGCTCAGCTACAACACTGCACAGAGAAGTCTGCTTCTGATAAGATGAACCACAATTTTTAATATGCCTGAATTCAGCTTGAGAAACAAGGACGGAAAAAAAGCATGTCTTGAGTCCATGTTTTTTCAGATGGCAATCCCACAGGAAACAACTACTAGCCGTGTAACAGCACTGGCAAAGGAAGACACCTCCAAGGGAATTATATGCAAATTAACTGCAGCCAGATGGCAATTTCTTTTCTTTAAAGCTTTAAGACATTTACATGCTTTTGAAATTCTTACTTGCTTTACATGGATTCTTCTATTTTCAAAAATGGTATGAGCACTTAAAGAAAGCTGCACACTATTTCAATTTTGAATGGGGCTAGAAAGCCTAGATGTTACTGACACTAAATAGGAAGAATTAATTTACTTAAGCAGGATCCTCCTACCACTGTCTAAACCAGCACTGCCATGGAAAAACATGCATCTAACACCATGCTTTCTGAGCTAGTAGATAACAATTTGCATTCTTTACTCTGCTACAGACTTTCTATATAACCACAAGCAAGCCACTTGCACCTCTGTCTCACGATTATACAGCAACAGCCACCAACTGCATGAAATTAAAAATAACAGTGCACTGGTTTTGTGCACCATGTCAGGAGCTTGTTCCAAGTATGTTTTGTGATTCACTGATAAAAATTTTTTTTTTTTTTTTTGCATACACTACTGGCAGTGCAACTATTGAGTGTATTAGTGACACAGAAGCATAGAAGAGAGAGTTCTGTCTGAAAAGATTTAATAACTGAGGCCTCTATAAAGATAACATTTCCCTTCCTATAAGCTGTGCTGTGATTTAAAACTAAGGCTTCTAGCCCTTAATGAAAACCTTTCACTTGCCTTAAAAACAGTAGAATTGGATTCTTCTCCATCAAATTTCATATCACATAGGAAAAACAGTAACACAAGGAAATATAAAAGTTTGTCAAATTAAACAGATGAACTATTTGACACTCAAATTCTACAAAATGCTACAGGACATAGCAGCAACCTGCAGCGCAGTTTAGTGAAGTCTGCCACAGATCGCACTGGATCTTCA